GGGGGGGGGTGTTCAGTCAGATCGCAATCTATGGGGGCCCAGAAAGGAAAAGATGGAGATCACCAAGTCAACGTTGTCTCGGGGAATGTCTGTACCAAAGGCAGCAAACGATACCCCGTGTAGCCTTACAAGACTGTCGGAGCAAATGCTATATACTCTTAGTTCTTTCGGTGAAGTCACGTAGGTAAAAAATTAAATTAAAATTAATTAATTTTTAAAATTATTTTTATTTCATTTTTTACCTACGTGACTTTACCGAATGAAATGAAAATTAAAATTAATTATTTTTTTTATTAATTCTAATTTCATTTTTTACCTACGTGACTTTACCGAAAGAACTAAGAGTATGAATCATTGCAGTCACGAAAGCTTCAAATCTGGAGCAAGTGCTGCTCGCGTCCAGCTAGTAAGTCTGGCACGTAACGTGGCCAACAACGCGCGCAGAGGCGATCTAACCCATCAAAAGAACCTGTGTTTACACCATTGGAACCTCCTTTGCCAGTAGCAAAATATGATCATTGGGTTTTTACCCTTTTATCTGGCAACAAAACTGACACCTTTTTTTTTTACAAGGAGTCATGTTTGCATTGACCACAATACCTGCAGTCGGAATGCAAAAAAAAACACAACTCTGATAATGTATGCACTGTCCTTGATTGGTCCACACCCGAGACAGCTTTCCTTAGAGCCTAGTCTCACATGGTGTTTGGCCAGATAAAAGGGTAAAAACCAAATTATCATAACTTGTGTTATGGATGATATTGGTCACGAAAGCCGACGTGTTAAACTAACGACTGCTGCCTGATTTTAAGTGGCAAGGCGTTCTATACCTCGTGCACGCCACGCTAACAGAAGCGCCGGTCACCAAAAGAGCGACAACCCCGCCTAAACCTGGGAGTGCTGAGCAGTTGGAGATCAGGCGATCTTAAGGACCCTGATGGAATACAAACATCGATTTAGTTCCTGCAATTGGTGTGGGGGCGGGAAGTGGGGTGAGCACTTTTAAAGCCGAGTTAAAACAATGGTGGAGTTTTTTACCCTTCTATCTGGCAATAAAACTGACACCTTTTTTACAAGGAGTCATGTTTGCATAGACCACAATACCTGCAGTCATAATGCAAACAAAAAACATAACTCTGATAATGTGCACTGTCCTTGAAGTTGATTGGTCCACACCCGAGACAGCTTTCCTTAGAGCCCAGTCTCATATGGGTTGGACCAGATGACGCCAAAAGGCGCACAACTCAAAGACAATGCACCATCAGAGTATGAGAGCTCGGGGTAAGCATTTACAGCATGGGAACCTGATCTTCCAGTAAAAAATATGATAATTGGTTTTTTACCCTTTTATCTGGCAACAAAACTGACACCTTTTTTACAAGGAGTCCTGTTTACATAGACCACAATACCTGCAGTCATAATGCAAACAAAAAACATAACTCTGATAATGTATGCACTGTCCTTGAAGTTGATTGGTCCACACCCGAGACAGCTTTCCTTAGAGCCCAGTCTCACATGGGTTGGACCAGATGACGCCAAAAGGCGCATTTAACCAGCATCGCCCCCCATCCCGTCGCTGCCCGCTCACCCACTCGGTGGTACGAATTGGTTACGACGCAAGAAGTTCGTCGCTCGGCAGATCGCCAGTGGTGCGCTCGCGTGTGGGTGGGTAGCCCACCCCCACTTCCAATACGTCTGGGCAATTGCAGGGCTGCGCCTTTAACCCCTTTTGTTCCACTTCTGAGTGTCGTTGAATGTTGCGACGCGGTACGAACTGCTGAGCCAAAATCTCTAGGGGGCGCCACGGTGGCTATGAGATGTTTACTACCTCGCCTGGTATACAGGAGGTTGTGGGTTCTAAAACCCGGCCCTGACGCCGCGTCTCTCTCTCTTTCTCTCTCCGCCGTGGTCACGAAGATTTGTCTCCGGGTCGTACGATTTTCTCCCTCCACATTTAGAAATCGACATCACCACGCGGCGTTTGGAGTGATTGGCTGCTTGCTCTATATACACATGTGATGATCAGCCACATCGTTCGATCAGCTGTCGTTTTTAAATAGCCGGGTTGCTTCTGAAACAAAAATAAGTATAACCCGTAAAAACAAAGTTTTTCACTATAAATCCTTTATATGCGTGGCGGCTAGAGTCCTCTCGTCCTCTGGCTTGAGATGGTTGCCACCTATGGGTCAGATGATTGTCTGCCAGTATTAAGCAATTGGTAATTAAATATTTAATTTGTTTTCCCTGAACAGTGTAAAATTTTGGAAAAAAATTTTCACGAACATTAATTGTCTCGCACAACGAGTCTGTGTGCAAAATGTCAGCTCGATTGGATCACGGGAAGTGGGTTAAAAAACGACCGAAAGATTTACACGGTCGTAAGCAAGCAAGCAAGCATGCAAGTAAGCGAACTTAATATAAAGGATTTAAAAAGCGAAAGAGCTCAGTGGTCCAATAAGCAAAGTTTCTGTGGAATTTCTCTCCCCCGCCCGAGTTAATTATCGCCAAAAAAAACAAAGCCCCTCCCCCGCCCCCGTATAGCCTTAACAGACTGTTGGGGCAAGTGCTGCTAGCCAGCAGCAGCACTTTTGAAGGCCGGCACGGCGCATGAAGAGGTGGCCACAGGGCCGGATTAAGGCGTGGGGGCTTTAGGGGCAAGTTGGAGGGCTTCCAGAGATGACGTGAGAAGTTTCTTTCGTTTGTGAATGCTGCATTTGGATTTGTTGTTAGCCTTGTAAAAGTAAATTTAAAATTTCTATAACTTTGTTTTCTCTTCTTGGTTCTTTCGGTAAAGTCACGTAGAAGGGAAATAATAAAGTAATACAAATAAAACATGATAAAATAATTCTCACGACGTTTCGGCCACAACGCAAGCAGCCGTCCTCAGGTGAAGAACAGGTCTGTCGGAAAGACAGCGTCCGAATGAACACCACCAAGCTTGAAAAGGGCTGTCTTTCCGACAGACCTGTTCTTCACCTGAGGACGGCTGCTTGCGTTGTGGCCGAAACGTCGTGAGAATTATTTTATTATGTTTTATTTTTATTACTTTATTATTCCCCTTCTACGTGACTTTACCGAAAGAACCAAGAAGATGAATCCCTGCAGTCACGAAAGAAGCTTTAAATCGAAATATAAAATATAGTGGAGTTTACGGTAATCAGCATTGCGATAAGCGACTAAAAACGAATTGAGTGGTTCAGTTGGCGGTCGACGTTTAGAAGTGGGCTCTCAAAGTAACGGCGCCACCTCCATGCCCCCCCCTCCCCCCGCGACCCCCTCCCCCCGTGATCCGTGGGATCAAACAAACGACTCGAGACACGCCGGTGGATTGCACCACCTAAACCTCGCCCATTTCCCTTCGACATCAGGAGGAGTGGGGAACGATGCCAACCCCAGCCGCAAGCGATGATGAAATTCTCACCTGCAACTTTCATCAGCTAGCTGAGACCGTGCCACTAAGGGTTTGAATGGGGTCCTGGGTGTACGCCCACCACCGGAGTGGAAGAATGGCAGGCGCATCTTACAGATGACAAGTCGATGGTCAGTGGGCAGATCAGCTCCACGGTAGGTCCTGGTGTCAAGGACACGGGCCCGCATCCGCTGTTCCGTCACTAAATAGTCCACCAGATGTTCTTTCTTGGACCTGGCATGCATCCATGATGTGGTGTGGATGCGCCGATGCCGGAACAGCGTGTTAGCAATGACAAGCCCATGGGCTGCACAAAAATCTAGCAGACTTCTGCCGTTGTTATTGAGCTGATCTGGCCCATGCCTTCCAATTACTCCAGACCAGGTGCCAGCATCATGACCAACTCGGGCATTAAAGTCACCCAACAAGATGACTCTATCCCGAGGGGTCACTTTAGCTACCACCTGTGACAGGAGGTCATAGAAGGCATCTGACTCTTCTAAGGGAGACGATTTGGAGGGTTCGTGGTTGGTTGTCGATGATGAGTGGAAGTGCGGTGTGAGTTGCCTTGAGAATCAAGATCCTGCTCAAACCATCTCAAGTCTCCTCTTCACTAGTACTAGTACTGCTCGACTTCGGTACTTCGTACTCATCCACGTGGTAAATGGTCTCCCGACTGAGATTGAACTCGGACCGTGGAGACCGTGGAGAGATGTGAGGTATGATGGCCCCCTCGGCGTTCCAGAGTTCGATTCCCGCTCACGGCCAACACCGGCGACGATAAATTATCTGAAGTGGTCCTGGGCCTCAGCCTCAAATGTGTACCTGGCACGGTGTGTAAGCCTCGCCACGAGGAAGGCAGAGGTGGCCGCACGTGGCTCTGGCCACCACACCCACCGCCTCGTGTACCGCTCCGTCCTTCACAGGTGCTCCTCGCTACCAGCACTTGCCTCAACAGTCTGTCAAGGCTATATGGGGGACCTTTGTCTGTTGTGTGTGTCGGGCGTGGTTGCTGACCCCCCCACTTTGTCCGATAATTAACGGGAGCCCACACGGGCGGATCTTCCGTGTGTAATAAAGCTCGTTGAGGCGACTTCTGGAATCCGTCTTTTATTCAACTTATGTTACAGTTACTTCACGCTGCTGACAGGCAGCGTGAGAGGGACAGATAGACAGAGAGAGAGACGGACTGCCACGTGGCAACTCGGAGCCCCGCTCCCGCGTGGCCCCCTTCCTCTGTTCGTTCCCGTTCTGACCACGTGTCGTTCGTCTCCACCCCTATTTAATACCCGGGTCACGTGGTACGATTCCGCCAATCCTCGTTAGCCTGCATGGAATCTTCCAGGCTCCCTCGTCAGCTCCCGGGACCACGCCCCTGACTCATCTCCCCATTGGCTGTGGCCAAAGCCAGCAGAACCAATCCTTACAGCTGTCACCTTTCCATCACGTCAGGGCCACGCCCCCAGGCTTCCCCCCATTGGCTATAGACCAGGACCGGCAGAGCCAATCACCATGACGAGTTGTGATACGTCAGTGAGCCGGATATATCCTCATATTACACGTGCGCGCGTGTGTCTGTGCGGTGGGCCAGGAGGCGGCGTTGAGGGCCGAGCGGTGGTGCGGGTCACGTCCCAGGCCCTCACGGCGGCCGTCGGCTCCTCGGTGCTGCTCAACGTCTCCTTCTCGCTGCAGCGGCCCAGCGGGGTGGGCCCCCCCCCCGGGTCAGGCGACCCCCACGCCGAGGTGGACGTCGAGTGGGTGTTCCGCAGCGGCGGCGGCGGGGAAGTGCGCGTGGCGCAACGCAAGCAGGGCATCACCAACCTGCGCACGTACGAGACGGGCGGGGGGGGGGGGGGCAGGGGGGGGCGGGGGGCAGGGGGGGCAGGGGGGTGTAGGGGCAGCACCAACCTGCGTGTGCATGAGACTGGGGTGATGGGGGGGGCAGCGTGGGGAACAGCGCCGACCTTACCAGCGCACATTCAATATTTGTCCTGCACGGTTTCCACGCCGCAGCCTGTGCTCCCCCCGACACCTCTCACAGCGAATGGCCCCGCGGGTTGAGATGATGGTGGCGCCGGCACAGGGAGGGCTCCACGCAGCAGCGGATAGATCATGGCCGCAGGAGGGGATGTTCCAGCGGTCGTATGACGGGCGCGGTGTGACGGGCGCAGTGTGACGGTGGTGTTGTGACGGGCGCGGTGTGACGGTGGTGTTGTCACGCCGGTGTGAACGTGACGGTGGGCAGGTACGACGGCCGCGCGCAGCTTTACCCGCTGAACGGCAGCCTGGTGCTCAACTCGCTCACCAAGAAGGACGGCGGCATCTACACGGTGCACGTGACCGACACGGCAGACGGCGGCAAGGACCGCAAGCAGATCCAAGTCACCGTGCTCAGTGAGGGCAGCACCGGCGCCACTGCGCGGGAGCCACCGCACTAACGCCACCGCACTAACGCCACCGCACTAACGCCACCGCGCTAACGCCACCGCACTAACGCCACCGCGCTAACGCCACCGTACTAACGCCACCGTACTAACGCCACCGCACTAACGCCACCTTACTAACGCCACCGCACCAACGCCACCGTACTAACGCCACCGCGCTAACGCCACCGTACTAACGCCACCGCGCCAACGCCACCGCACTAACGCCACCGTACTAACGCCACCGCGCCAACGCCACCGCACTAACGCCACCGCACTAACGCCACCGCACTAACGCCACCGCACTAACGCCACCGCGCTAACGCCACGGCGCCGGCGCCGGCGGTACTGGTGGTGCCGACCGACGCCAGGACCGCACGAGTCGGCCGCACGAAAGGAGGTTTCGCTGCTTCGAGAGCGACGCGGCGGCACACAACCAGCCGGCCTCACAGCCACGACCCTGACCACCGCTCTCTTCCCTGCCCCTTTCCCCGTAACCCCCTACCGCCTCCCCCACAACCTCTCCCCCCTCCAGACCCCGTGTGGGGGGTCTCGCTCTCCCCGTCGCCTAACCCGGCGTCGAGCGGGACCTGGGCGGAGGGCCAGAACGTGAGCCTCTCCTGCTCGGTGTCGTCGGGCGACGAGGTGTCGCTGGCGTGGAGCCGCGGCGGGGAGCCCGCGCTGCTGCCGCGGCGCCACCTGCGCTTCGCCGACAACAACGCCACGCTCGCCATCGACGGCCTGCGGGCCGACGACGCCGCCACCTACTCGTGCGTCGCCTCCAACCGCGTGAGCCGCCAGGAGGCGACGTTTGTCGTCACAGTTGAGGGTGAGTCGGGGGGTGGGGCGTGGTGGGGGTGGGGGGAAGGGGCGTGGCTTGGCGTGGTGGGGTGGGGGAAGGGGCGTGGCTTGGCGTGTGGGTTGGGGGGAAGGGGCGTGGCTTGGCGGGGGCGTGGCTTGTCTTGGCGTGGTGGGGTGGGGGGAAGGGGCGTGGCTTGGCGTGGTGGGGTGGGGGGAAGGGGCGTGGCTTGGCGGGGGGCGTGGCTTGTCTTGGCGTGGTGGGGTGGGGGGAAGGGGCGTGACTTGGCGTGGTGGGGTGGGGGGAAGGGGCGTGGCTTGGCGTGGTGGGTGGGGAGAAGGGGCGTGGCTTGGCTGGGGGGCGTGGCTTGGTGTGGTGGGGGGGAATGGGCGTGGCTTGGCGTAATTATTTGAGCCACATTCGTCAAAACAAACATGTATCAGTGTCCACCATTTACCGGTGCTGAGTGGCTTTTGCGCCGCACCGGAACAGCTGCCACTGGGGGTGCCCTGCGGATGTGGAGAGATGAGACGTGAAATGAACCTCATGGCGGTACCCCGCGGGATGTGCCAGAGTACCGCGTAATGTCCGTGACGCAGTCGCTTTTAGTCTGTTAATGGTGGACGATGCGGCTATCGAACTCGTCTCGACGAGCTGCGCTCACGATGCACCGCCGCCACGGTGCGTACCGCGAGCGCTCGGGGTCTCGGCGCAATCGTCCTCGCTGCGTGTCGATGTCGGATTGATTGGTGCCCCAGTCGTGGAGTGAAGTACACAAAAATAGTGTCCCAGAAATACCAACATTGAATTGCCTCGGCCCATTTTGTATTATTGTGCACCCCGGGGTGACCACCTTGAGGATCATTTATGTTGAAGTGGGTTGAGCTGTGGAGTGGAACGGGGAACAGGAGATGCTGAAAGGCTTCGGGGGGTTGGCTGCGAGGTGGCCGGACGTTCGATGGATTCCCACATCGATCTGTGCGGAGTTGTGAGTGTCGCCCGTTTCCTGCGAATGGTGGGCTGCTCCGGGCGGGAGGGAGAAAGCGTGGAGAAGAGTGGAGTGAGATGAAAGGGGAGAGGTAGGAGAGTGCGTGGAGGGGAGTGGAGTGAGATGAGAGGTAGGGGAGTGCGTGGAAGGGAGTGGAGTGAGATGGGAGGGGAAAGATAGGAGAGTGCGTGGAGGGGAGTAGAGTGAGATGAGAGGTAGGAGAGTGCGTGGAGGAGAGTGGAGTGAGATGAAAGGGGAGGACTGGGAGAGAGAGAACGTGGAAGGGAGTGGAGTGAGATGCGAGGGGAGAGGTAGGAGAGTGTGTGGAGGGGAGTAGAGTGAGATGAGAAGGGAGAGGTAGGGGAGTGCGTGGAGGGGAGTAGAGTGAGATGAGAAGGGATGACTGGGAGAGAGCGTGGGGGGGAGTAGAGTGAGATTAGAGGGGAGAGGTAGGAGAGAGCATGTAGGGGAGTAGGGTAAGATAAATAGAGTGGGGTAGGGAGTGAGTGAGTCACATCACAAGCAGAGCGGTTGCCGTTTTGACTTAATGCTTCCGTGACTGCAGGAATTCATATTATTTGGGTGTTTCGGTGAAGTCCCGTGGCTTGCTGCCTTTACCGGAAAACCCAAAGAATACGGTTCATGTTCGACAATCTCCGAAGAGAAGATGGAAAGTAAAGAGTCACTCAGAATCGGACATCAACTGAATATGGAAATAGACGCCCCAAGCCCTAAAGCAGGAAGCCTGTGTTGCCTCCGAAACGTCGTGATTTTTATTTTATTTTATTTTCATTAATTTTGATGTTTTACCTACGTGACTTTACCGAAAAAACCTAATAATATGAATCCTTGCAGTCACGAAAGCTTCAAATCTAGAAGGAAACCTGTAATTTTCCAAGTCTGGAGGTTGTGCTATTTTAAGTTTTTTCAAAGGGATTCTGTCCAGTAACATTTCGTGTAAAAATAATGTATCGGCTCACATAAAGAACCAAAGACGAATGGAGACCCATAGACATGCGGGGACTTACAGTTTGGGTCACCTGAGTTTGAGTGCAGACCAGGGTTTTTTTTAATGCTCCCGTCGCAAACATCGTCAGTATCGTTTATCCCATCATCAGTACCATCAGTAGCATCAGCATCATCAGCACCATCAGTAGCAGCATCATCAGCATCATTAGTAGCAGCAGCATCATCAGCATCATCAGCACCATCAGCATCATCAGTAGCATCAGTAGCAGCATCATCAGCATCATCAGTACAGCAGCATCATCCGCATCATCAGCACCATCAGCATCATCAGTAGCATCAGTAGCAGCATCATCAGCATCATCAGTAGCATCAGTAGCAGCATCATCAGCATCATCAGTAGCAGCATCATCAGCACCATCAGTAGCATCAGTAGCAGCATCATCAGCATCATCAGCATCATCAGTAGCATCAGTAGCAGCATCATCAGCATCATCAGCACAATTAGTAGCATCAGCACCATCAGTAGCAGCAGCATCAGCATCATCAGCATCATCAGCATCATCAGTAGCAGCATCATCAGCACCATCAGTAGCATCAGTAGCAGCATCATCAGCATCATCAGCATCATCAGTAGCATCAGTAGCAGCATCATCAGCATCATCAGCACCATTAGTAGCATCAGCACCATCAGTAGCAGCAGCATCAGCACCATCAGTAGCAGCAGCATCATCAGCACCATCAGTAGCAGCAGCATCATCAGTACCATCAGTAGCACCATCATCATCAACACCATCAGCACCATCATCATCAACACCATCAGCACCATCAGCATCCTCAGCATCATCAGCACCATCAGCACCATCAGCATCCTCAGCACTATCAGTAGCAGCAGCATCATCAGCACCATCAGCATCATCAGTAACAGCATCATTAGCATCATCATCAACATCATCATCACCATCATCATTATCAACACCACCATCACCTTTATCATCATCATCAGTGTCGTCATCAGTGTCGCCATCGTCAGCAGCGGTGTCCCCGCGGGTCACCGCAGTCGCTTGCTCTCCAGCTCGCGGTGCCGCGGGTAGTGGGGGGGGGGCACCGCGTGGGGAACTCCGAGCTCCACAATCGAGGGGGCTCCCTCTCGCGCGAAACGCCCTCCTTCCGTCAGCAGGGCGCCATTGCAGGGCTGCCCCTTTAGCTTCGCGGGTTTGACGCTGTGATGCGCGGCGAGTTTTGAGGTCTACAAGGTGAGGACGCGCGGTCTGTCTCTTACCCACCCCCCCCTGCTGCTCCTGCTGCTGCCTCCTGCTGCTGCTCCTGCTGCTCCTGCTGTTGCTCCTGCTGCTGCTGCTGCTCCTGCTGCTCCTGCTGCTGCTCCTGCTGCTGCTGTTCCTGCTGCTGCTGGCTGCTCCTGCGGCTGCTCCTGCTGCTGCTGCTCCTGCTGCTGCTCCTGCTGCTGCTGCTCCTGCTGCTGCTCCTGCTGCTGCTGCTGCTTCCTGCTGCTCCTGCTGCTGCTCCTGCTGCTGCTGTTCCTGCTGCTGCTGCTCCTGCTGCTGCTCCTGCTGCTGCTGCTCCTGCGCTGCTCCTGCTGCTGCTGCTCCTGCTTGCTGCTCCTGCTGCTGCTGCTCCTGCTGCTGCTCCTGCTGCTGCTGTTCCTGCTGCTGGCTCCTGCTGCTGCTGCTCCTGCTACTGCTGCTGTTGCTGCGCTGCTGGCTGCTCCTGCTGCTGCTCCTGCGCTGCTACTGCTGCTGCTGCTCCTGCTGCTGCTCCTTGCTGCTGCTACTGGCTCTGCTCTGCTGCTGCTGCTTCTGCTGCTGCTCCTGCTGCTGCTGCTGCTCCTGCTGCTGCTGCTGCTCCTGCTCTCCGGCCTGCTGCTGCTCCTGCTGCTGCTGCTGCTACTGCTGCTCCTGCTGCTCCTGCTTCTGCTGCTCCTGCTGCTGCTGCGGCTGCTCCTGCTGCTGCTGCTGCTCCTGCTGCGCTGCTGTTGCTACTGCTGCTGCTACTGCTGCTGCTCCTGCTGCTGCTGGCTTCCTGCTGCTCCTGCTGCTCCTGCTGCTGCTGCTCCTGCTGCTGCTCCTGCTGCTGCTGATGCTGCTGTTCCTGCTCCTGCTGCTGCTCCTGCTGCTGCCTCTGCTGCTCCTGCTGCTGCGTGTTCGCACCTGAATGAAACGGCGCCGCGAGGCTGGGACGCGAACGCCGTGGAGCGCTGGCGTCATCCCCCTCTTCATCCTCAGCTGGTGAGCCGCAAGAGACCTGGTCACACACCAGGGGACCTGGTCACCCACAGGGGACCTGGTCACCCACCTCACCACCTCCCTCCCTCACCTCCCTCCCTCCCTCACCCCCTCCCTCACCACCCCCCTCACCCCTCCCCCCCTGCCTCACCCCTCCCTCCCTCACCCCCTCCCTCTCTCCCTCACCCACTCCCTGCCTCACCCCGTCCCTGTCTCCCTCTCTCCCTCACCCTCTCCCTCACCACCTCCCTCACCCCCTCCCTCACCCTCTCCCTCACCCCCTCCCTCACCCCCTCCCTCACCCCCTCCCTCACCCCCTTCCTCACCCCCTCCCTCATCCCCTCCCTCACCACCTCCCTCCCTCACCCCCTCCCTCACCCCCTCCCTCACCACCTCCCTTCCTCACCCCCTCCCTCATCACCCCCCTCACCCCTCCCCCCCTGCCTCACCCCCCCCTCACCACCTCCCTCACCCCCTCCCTCACCACCTCCCTCACCACCTCCCTCACCCGCTCCCTCACCCCCTCCCTCACCCCCTCCCTCACCACCAACCCCTCCCTCATCCACCACCTCCCTCACCCCCTCCCTGTCTCCCTCTCTCTCTCACCCCCTCCCTCACCCCTCCCTCACCCCCTCCCTGTCTCCCTCTCTCCCTCACCCCCTCCCTCACCACCCCCCTCACCACCTCCCTGTCTCCCTCTCTCCCTCACCCACTCCCCGTTGCTCCGCGCGTGGCGTGCAGTCTGCTGATCGTTGCCTAAGTGGCAGCCCAACACCCATCAGCACCATCAGCACCATCAGCAGCATCAGCACCCTCGGAGCAGGAATAAGAAGAAGAGGAGCGAGCGAACGAGTGGAGGAGGAGGATGAAGATGAGGAGGGACGAGGAAGAAGATCCCAACATATTTAAAAGAAGAAGAACACGTTATTCAATCCACGTGCGCCACAGCCTCCTCATCCTCCCTCCCCCTCCCTCCTCCCTCCCTCCTCCCTCCTCCTCGCCCTTCACTCGGCATCCTTCAGCTGTCGATGTCCGTGATTGACCGTCGTCGCTTTCCTCGCCGCGCTGTTTCGTCTCCGTACGCGATGCTGCCGCGTCGTTTTCGTCTCCCCGCTCCTTTCTTTCGCGAACGTCGCGCAATTTTTTTTTCTGGTCTCACGCGGTCGTTTCACTTCTCCCTCACCTCGCCCTCCCTTCCTTCCTCCCTCCCCCCTCTCCCTCTCTCTCAACGATTTGCCACAACTGTGAGCCGCGTGTTATCATCCCTGACACGAGCGCGTGGCTGAGCCCCGATTGTAATCGCGGTGGAGGCCCTGGGGCGCGGTAGCTTGAGTCGAGA